TGCGCTGATTAAGTTGTATTCCTGAGTACGGTAAAGCTATCACTTTTTGCCATGTGTTTAAACGCTTCTCCACACTGGCATTTTGGTGATTGTGCTCGTGTTGTCTCAGTGTACATAATATGTTGTCTCAGTCTTGTGTGTTGGGTTCTTATTCGGAAGATAATCACCTGTTCTTGGCGGGGCAGCTCATGGTAGCTACCTGGTGTCTGTGGTGCTTTAAATAGGCTCTTTATGATAGTTTTTATTTCTGTGTAGTTAACGCTGTTGTCTGGTTGTTCTTTCTGTGCTCCTACTCCTAGTTTGGCCATCCTGTCTGCCTACTCATTTCCTAAGACACCACAGTGTGATGGTATCCACTGCAGCATGATCCTCAGACTTGGGATGTCCTCAATTACTTCTCGTAGCCTTTGTAGTTTGCCGGCAGTGGTTGCCTGCAGTTCTGACATGGCGTCAGTTAGGAATACTACTTGGCTTTGGTGGTCTACCACATTCTTGGTGATGTTTGCTGCATGTATTAGAGCCTCCGTCTCTGCCCTGTAGTTTGTACAGTGTCGCCCTGTTGGGACTGCCTCTGCTTGTCGTCGTCCATTTGGGAACTGTACATACACTCCGGCTCCTCCTCTTTTCACGGCACCAGTGGCAGATCCGTCCGTATAGACCCTTATCCATGCTTCTCGGGTGTATCTTTCTTCAAGCATGGACAGGGTGGGGATTTCTTGCTCAGGTCGCTGTGGTCATCTTTTGTGGTGAACATAGGAATGGACGTGTGTATGATTATGTTTGTGTGTTTTTCTTTTCCCATGATGGTGCCTCTGGGGTATGGTTCAGCATGTTCACTGTGGCTGGTAGATGGTCCTGTAGGGGTCTTTGGGTTTTTCTGCTTTCTTTGATGAAGTTGGATCTTTTATGTCTTGTGGTGTTTGATCTGGCTGTTCTTGTGTGCATTATATGATCATCCATAGCTGTGACCTTGGTGTACTGTATGAGGGCCTTGCACTCCCATCTCCTCTGCAGGGCCACTATAGATGTTTGTTCCATCTTTTCTATATAGGCGTTGACCTCATTGCTCCAGTGATTATTCGGAGAACTTGGTTTTGCACTTTTTCCAGAGAGTATTTGTAAGTCTGTGCTGCAGTCATCTATGCACTGGATATGTACTCGAGATGGGGCCTGATTGCGCCCAGATAGACCTGTCTAAGTGTTTTCTCATTTGCTTCCCAATGAGTCCCTGCAAGTTTTCTCATTATGTTAAGTTTCTTCCTTGCTTAAGTTTCTGCATTTTGAATGTGTTGTTTCCATGTGAAACGCTTGTCAAAGATTATTCCAAGAGACTTCTGTTGATTCTCAAACTTTAGGGTTTTTTAAAATCCAATGTGGGTTTTTTTGGCTCAGCCTGGCTGAGGGTGAAGAGTGTAGCAGAAGGCCTTTCTTTGTTTACGGTTACACTCCAGATCTTTGTCCATGTATTGAGTTTGTCTAGTGCTAGTTGCATGCGATATGTGGCAGTAGTGACAAATTCCTCAGAGCACCAAAGAACCAGGTCGTCTGCATACAGTGCGGCATGTATTCCTTTGGGCAGTTCTTTCATTAGATCATTGATGAAGAGGATAAAGAGCAAGGATGGCATGACTCCACCTTGGGGTACTCCTTGTTGCAGCAGCATTTTCTGTCCTGGATATCCATCCACCAGCTCACGTGCTCTTCGGTTGTGTAGATAGTCCATTGGTACTTGTTGCCTTGGATACCACTTCCGAAGAGCTTTACTAGAAGACCCTCCTTCCAAACCTTGTCAAACGCTTTTTGTAGATCAATAAATGTTGCTAGCATCACTTTCTGTGCTTGGAAGGAGTCCTCTGTAACTTGGGACAAGTAAGTTGTTTGGTCCTCTGTGCTCCTGAACTGACAAAATCCAGCTTGTTCTGGTACTAGGATGTGTTGTGCCTCTAGGTACCACTGCATTCTGCAAGCTATGATGCGCTCCATTGTCTTACATACACAACTTGTGAGGCTGATAGGTCTATAGCTTAGTGGTTGTGCCTTACTTTTCCCTGGCTTGAGGATCGGGATCATCATTGCTTCTTTCCAGCACTGGGGTACTTGCCCATTTTTTCAGCTTAAGTTGAATATATATCCAGTAGAGTCTGTAAGGCTCTGTTGCCCAGGTGTTGTAACATTTCATTTGTAATTTCATCAGGGCCTGGTGATTTTCTTTGCTTTAGTTGATTTATTGCTTTCTTCAGCTCTTCCGTGGTGATGTCCTTCTCCATTGATTCTGGGATGTTTTTTGTACTTCTTTTCCTTCTTCCCTCTTGTCTGACCTCTCTCTCTCTCTCTCTCTCTCTCTCTCTCTCTCTCTCTCTCTCTCTCTCTATCTATCTATCTATCTCTATCTATCTATCTCTCTCTCTCCCTCTCTCTCTCTCTCTCTCTCTCTCTCTCTCTCTCTCTCTTGGTATTTTGATCTTGCTTTCTTGAGCATATGCTTTTACAAAGATATGTGCTGCCCTTTTCTCTATTTCCATCTCTCCTTTAACTTCTAACGTGATCTTGGAAAAAGTCCTGATATATCCGATCCCTGTAAAATCTGAAATGCAAGGGAAGTAAGCATCTGTGGACTAATCAAGCTGTATTTATTCATGGGTAGTTTCCCTTGCCACAAATACCCACGAACAGGGGTTTTGGCCATTCGCAGGCCTGCGCATGACACATTTCATTATGTGTGCGTGTAGCTAGGCTGAGGACTAGAAGACCGAAGTCTGCAGCACCCCGCAGCCCTCTCTCGTTTCAACCGATGCATGTGATTGCAACAGTAGCGTGGCTTGCGTGGGCTTACTCAATCATTGCATTACTCTCTCTCTGTCTGTCTCTCTCTCTCTCTCTCTCTCCCTCTCTCTCTCTCCCTCCCTCATGACAAGGCAAATACGCACACTCACACTCTCCCTCCCCCCCCTCTCTCTCTCTTACTTTTTACACATTGTTAACGAGCGTTTTTCCCTGCTATAACCGATTTGGCTCCGATGATGCCCTGTTATTGCCGATTATTTTTAATGAAGGCAAAGAGTAGGAAAAAACGGGGATTTCAAAAATCCCTGTTATTACCGGGCCTGTTATAGGCCTATATGGTTTCCACTGTACAAACAAGTAAAAGCCGGGAATACGTTTTCAGCCGAGTATGTTTTACCGAGGTTTTACTGCCTTATTCATTATCTTGCAGCGCGCCATACCCTTTGGACTTGACCTGAGTGGAGGAAAAGCTGCTTCGGGTGTGGTTATTTTATTGCGTCGTGGTGTCAACACATACTTATTCAAGTACAACTAGGAGTAGGACCTTGCAACCTCCTTGATGTACACCCGTTCTTGCGCTCCCCTCTCTACATCACTGAGGTTTAATGTACTTGATAACTCTGTACCACATTTTGCTTTCAAAACCAATAAATATGTTCTTGTCCCCCGTTCGCACTCGCCAAATTAATTTAGAACAGTCCGTCAGCCATAATATGAAAGCATACAATAAGAATATCTTCATGAAGATCTGGACCTGAAACAGACATCGGCGGTCATGGTTCACCATTCATTTCTCTGTGTGGGTGCTCTAAAAACATATTACAAGTAGTGCTTCCCCATCATCCACAGAAGTTCTCATGGTGTACTGACCATCTACGCCTGCCTCTTTTGCCCTCTATTTTTCCAGTGAGAGCAACGTTTTTTGGCATTTATGTTGTATCAACTGTAGCAGAAAGTGCATATTTGTCCCTTCCAAATTTTACATATTACTGTATGGCCCACGTGGGCTTTATTCACCCTTGCCTCATTTCATTTCCTTCTTCTTAATTCTCAATAGTCTCCTAAGAAAACACATCTTTTACCTTAAATTTCTTTTCAGTATCATACAACAAGATACAGATTATTATTACTAAATAACACCATAAAATTCATTTTTACTGCAGCGCTGGACTCCGACCCCGGGGTCATGCTGACCTCACGGCATGTGCATTCACGAACTAAAGTATCCCGCAGTTCGATATTTCTCTACATCAAAGTGTGGAGCGTACGGGGTGTAAAACACCCAGCCACTGTGAAATTGACATGAAATATGCTACTGGGAAAAGGGTTTAAATGACTCAAAAATGGCAAACACAATTTTTTCCCTATAATATAAAATATCTGGTCTATTTTTGAGTCACGACGTACAATGAGTGGGTAGTTAGTGTATGGTGTCATACCTGCCAATATAACTACAGTCGAACTTACGATGACGGCCACTTGTATAAGATGGCCACCTGTACAAACGGCCACTTTCCATTTCCCCCCTTTCGGTTTTTTAATAAAATTTAACTGTGTAAAATGGGCGCCTGTCCAACTCAGCAGCGGCCACCCTATTTTATCAACCCACAGCCTTAGTCGGCCAGGCTTTGTCAAAAATTATGCTTTTTCCCCCCGACGCTGTGAACAAGTCGTCATAATTCATTCACTTGTCGTTGTTATCAGTTCCTGCATGGATGAAACGGTCATGTTGCTCAAGTCACTCCCAACGTTTACCCAATTGACCACTGAGTTACAGTAAATTTTCAGCTGCTGTCATCAGCCCTTGGGCAGTCCTAAGCCTGTGCCCACCTCCAGTTGGGACATCAGAAGTAAATGGGTTCGTTTTCTTCATTTTGATCAGTCCTGCCTAAGACAGCCACCTGTCTTACACGACCACTTTTCCCCTCGACCATGCATGGCCGTCTTACACAGGTTCGACTGTATGTTGTATAGCCACCAAGTTTCGAATGCATGAAATGAAAGCATGTCGAATATACAATGAAAGAAGATCACATAGGCGGCTCACACCACCGGCTAGCCTCATTACTAAGAAAAATAATTTTTCAAGCTGACTGTTCCCTTTTTGGGTCATGACGGACTGGGAGGGTTAAGAATCAAATATATCCAGAGGATAGATTAGTAAAAATCCTAAACTAGTAAACACATAGGAACAAAAATTTTAAAAACAACTATCAGACTGGGTTTACACATTTATTGACATTGAACCTTCAAGAGTGAGAAAAAAGGAAAATTATATGAAGGAACAAACATTACAAAAATCTGTCACAACTTTGCAACAATGACATTTAACTTTTCATGACAAAATCATCCTTCCTCAAAACCCAATACGCTTTAATAAAACAATCATGTACCACAACAGTGAAATGGGCATAGCTGACATCTCTAGCTGAAAAAACTACACATGAAAATGAGGGTTTCGCCTATGGTGAATCAAGCCCAAAGTGATATTAACCCTTAACACTATCCACCCACGCAGCGTGCACAGTACACAACACTTAACCCCACGGATCAGGATACAGATGCCGTACACGCTATATCACACCGTCGCCCATAGGCGTCCTATGGGGGAAAGTTACGGCTTCTTACTGTTGCCGATCGGCATCCCGTGGGGGGCAAAGTGTTAAAAAAAACTTTTTTTTTTCATACCTCCCTAGAATCCTAAATTAAAATCGAGATAATAAAAAAAAATCAGGTTGTTTCATTGTTTTTCTTACTGTGTCTTTAATTGCTGTCAGATTTTACTGAAATTTGAATATATGTTATGTATATGAATGCAGTCTGGACAAAAGGGGATTAAGTTAAAACACTGACTTTAACTACCAACTATATGAGTAAAGTCTTGTGTGTGATCCCTGACTCCACTACAGTCAAAGCATCATTAGGCCCAGCCGTAGATGCAGCCTCTGGCAGCTTTAGTGGTTATCCCCCTGCCACTTCCACTATATCAAAATCACCATCGATGTTATGCAAAACATTGCATTCATCTTCAACAGTCAAATCTACCGATATTTCCGACTGGGAATCATTATCTGGGTCTGGTTCAGGATCAAAAATGTCAAAAATATCGCGGCCCCACGAAAAGTCACTCTTTAAAAAAAATTAAAGTAGCAAAACTTCAAAACTTTTGGTGTAGAATTGCTCTCATGACATAATCGATACTTTCTGCTCTCAACAGAGTCATCTGGAGTTACATCCCCTTGTTTCTACCAGTGGGAATTAAATGATAAAAATGACCAGCTGTTACCAGCGGTATAGGAAAATACAGCGTCAGCCGATACCAGCGGTATAGGGTTTTAAGGGTTAAAATTGATAGAATCAGGAAATTGAAACTTTTGAAGACTTTTTACCCTCTTACTCAACAAAGTCCGTCATATGGGATCATAACAGTCAAGACTTGCAGCTAAAAATTTTCTAACCTCATCACACAAAATTATTTCTATGATGACTGCTTTATGAAATGTGCAATCTCAGACACCACTGTCAATTCATTCACTTTCAAATTAATTTCAAAAGGGTGAGAGTAGCACATGATTTGGTAATGTTAGTGTGAAATTAAAAGGGCACCTCTGGAATCGCAAAGTTCTAGTGCATCGCACATGTGTGCGGCACTATTTTTTCTACTGAGTGCCACTCAATAAATATACCAATCATAAGGGTACAAAGAAAAGTAAATCACAACCCTTAGAATACAGACACAAGAGAGCATACCGCGGGCAGTACTGCATACAGACATAAGTCATTTTTGGCGGCCTTAGAGATATGTCTGTATGCAATACTGCCCGCGATATATGTAGGTTACTCTGATCATCTCGATACTGACCCCTAAGTAAAAAGAGTGAAAATGGTAAGGAAAGGTAGACCCCTTTTCAGCATCAGCACCTCAACTGTCCTGACTCGATCCCATTCAGACCTGTTAGATCAATACAATTCCCATGTTTTTGTTTTTTCTCCTAGGTATTCAGAGAGCACACACATGGCTTCCAAACACATTCAAACGAGATTCTAAAAATAAAATTTTTTTTAGGGTGAATGAAACACCTGTGCTTGTCCACTGCATTCAGACCAGCAAGCAATTTATGTTTCCTTTTCAACTTGAGAACAATAAACCCATGAAGACTGAACACAAGATACAGTCTCCCTTCTCTAATGTATTATAAAAACATATAAAGCCTTGGGGCTATGCCAAGTCCCATTGAAGGCTCGAGCAGGAGTCACATTAAAAAAACAAAGGTATTGTATAAAACACTTCTCTCACACTATAATTTTGCATAATTTCAACTTTCACATGAGATTTACAAAGCACAATTTTCAACATAGGCCTACATGGATATTACAAAATATTAACCATATATAATTTCACAGTTATCATCACAAGACATCGTCTGGACTTGAAAGCAGCTCACAAAACCAAAAGACATCCTCTGGACTTGAAAGCAGCTAAAAAAAACCAAAAGACAGCATTTCTACCCTTGCACACTCCTACTTACAAAATACTTGCAGGTGCACATGCTAACTCACACATCACACATGATCCATTTGACAATCATACAATGAAAAATGCCTACTGAAACAGAAATACAATTTGTACAATTTCTCTCGACTTCAATACTTGCACGCAATGTGACATCCAGATCAAATAGGGTCCATGACTGTAAATGCAAGACTACAAGTGCCTGCCATCGCAAACTCCAATCTTCCAGTACCTTAACTAGTAACCATTAATCCACCCATACCCACAAATACCTGTGTGTCTGAAATGGGAAACGCCAATCCACAATGAGGGCAAACACCAGTCTACTAGACTCTGCTATGTATAAAACACCCATCAATTAGCATAGCATTTGTACCAATCTACTTTGTACAAGCACTAAAACACTCATACCAACACTACTCCCCTTGTATTTGCATTATTCAATCCACTAATACATGTGCCAATCCCCTCATACCAGTCTTACTCCACTCAAACCCACACTAATCCTCTCGCAGTTGTGCCAATCCACTCGTTTCAGCACTAATACATTCGTATCAGCGTTAATCCACTGATACTTGCACCAATCAACTTATACTTTCTGGAATCCACTAGTACCGGCGGTAGTAGTTGCCGTTCTCTCCTTGGACCTGACTGTTGTAATCCCCATAGCGTCCGGAGCCACCGCTGGGTGGGTGGGAGCTGCTGTTGTATGAGCTCTCATTCCTTTGTGCCGCCCTGCTGCCAGACCAGAGAGAAAAACAAAACAAAAAATCACTCGGAAGAATTGTAAATGTTTAGAACTTGAATCCTTTGCATGCTAGACAAAGAGCCCGACTATTTCGGTAGACCAAACATATCTGCATAGACCCCGGCTGAAATAAGAGTTGACCCTTGAAAATTAGGCATGCTGGTCAGTCAAACCCCTCTCTATAGAATGCCGGCTGATTCATCAGCCATTAATTGGGGGATATAATAACCAAAGTTAAAACAGCATAACATCTATGTAGGCCTACATGTTTCGTACGAGTACAAATAGACCCTGCTTAAAAGGTAGCTTGTAAACTTCCTTTTCAGAATTTTTGTATACTTTCATTTTCGTTTTGAAAGCAATACTTTGTCGTTGAATCTGGTTTCCAAAATTGTCAAGAATCTGTCACTATCCTAGACAAAATAAATAAATCTAAGCCTGAACATTCATCGGGAAGAACTATAAATCACAACAGAAATATTTTTGAAAGAATATTTTTTAACAGAGTGACTCTGATGGTGAATTTTTTTCACCCACTGAGCACCTGGAAAGTCACAATTCAGATTTGGACAAAGATGTTGATAGGTTGGATGAGAGGTCTAGACCTATATATGTAAGAGGTCGTTGTACCGTGAGTCTCCAACCAGTTTGGTCTTATGATCTGAGCATGCATTGCCAAGCTGTTACCCATCCCAGCTTTTACATCATCAGTCTATAACCCGTTGCATGCCTCTAGCTCTCTTCCCTTTCATCTTTCATTCAACCAGTGAGAATTGTCCTTGGTAATGAGCCATGGCGCATGGTGTGCCCGAAGTATGTTCATCATCAATGCCTTTCACCCCTGGCGGGGTATAGGCCACATACAAGCTCCTTCCATTTATCTCTGTCCTGAGCCATCCTTCCAAGCTCATTCCAAGTGAGCTTCATTTCTCTCATGTCCCTTTCCACGCATCTCCTCCATGTTTCCCGTGGCCTACCCCTGCCTCGTGCTCCTTGTGGGTTCCACTGCAGTGACTGTCTTGTGATGTTTCCGCTGGGCTTTCTTAAGGTGTGTCCCATCCATCGCCACTTTCTTAGTCCTATTTCTACTTCTTATCCTTTTGTCCTGTCCTTTCCCACAGTTCATTTCTTATTCTATCCTGCCACTTAATTCTTAGAATACTCCTCATACAACTGTTGATGAAAGTCTGGACTTTATTCAGTACTGTTTTCGTTGTCTTCCAAGTTTCGCAGCCGTAGAGGAGCACAGACTTGACGTTGGAGAAGTATGTTAGTTTTACTGATTTTAGTTTTGGTACCGTAGTACTTCTCTTTTGACTGTAAGTTTTTTGCATCACAGCTTCATTTGTGATTTTGTCTTTCTAGCTGCTTCTGCCTAGTCTGCGAAAGATCCACATTTCCAGAGCCTCAAACTTGTTTACTAAAGTTTTGTACATTGTCCAATTTTCCGTGGCATAAGACATGATTGGAATGATGTAGATCTAGCAGTTCACCACCCTTAGTTTCAGTTCCATTGTGATGTTTCTTGATAAACTATACATGTGCAAAGATGATGTATAGCTTTCTAATATTCTTTTAATAAAAGAATGTATGAATTTTCAAAATAACCCCAGAAATGCCAGTCTTTTTCAGTATGTCTGTTTCATGGGGTAAGTAGCAATTGTCTGTATGGATTCTGAATGCAAATTTCTTGGCACATTTGAGCAGATTTGGCAATTTTGGGGTTGCAATAGGCAAATTACCGTGGGGACAGCTCTACATGTATATTATATCTGTATGCATACAAATGTATACAGTAGTCTCCGCCTAAGATCCCGGTGCTCTGGAGCAGGAAAAAATGCAGGATCTTAGGAGAACCCAGATCTTAACCGAATGGCCTACGAAAGAGTCCACAGTAACTCATGGTCAAGCCCAAAATCTGTACAATGATCTCCCCTTATTTTAAAATGAACTGACGAGACTCCTGGGCACTAAAAGTTCTTTCAGAAGTCAGTTTTTCCTCTTTTTTGTTGTTGGGGGGGGTAAAAATACTGTGTCAGGAGGGAACCAGTTGGTTTCAGGCAATGCCCCCCCCCCACTAAAAATTTATCAGAGATGCCAACCACAGAAAACCGAAATGAGTATTGGGAAATATGAAAATGTGTATTTTCAGGGGGAAATGTGTATTCCCCACCACCGATGGACCAACTAGTAAAATGTTCAGGGTGTCCAGCAATATTTCCTTTAAAAAATTTACTAGCTCACCAGCTCAAAAAAGGGAGCACACACGTGTGCAATGTATCCAGTCAACAACATGTCAGTGTTCAGTGTCGTACTGGGGTCTTGTTTGACTTAAGTATTTCAGTCTTTTAAAATATTTTCCTCTCATTATTATATAAAAAATTAATCCTGCTTTGAACGTTCAGAAGGGCCTAGAACAAGAATTTCGACATTCAAGAACCAGTCTGGGTATCATGATTCATATTAAGAACTGACATACTAAAATTATTGCTCAAACTCAGTTTTAGTAGAGGTTTTACAGCGCTCGCAACTGCATAAGGTCATATGAGCGCCAGAAGATTAGAGGTGTCACAAGAGAGTAACAAACATAAAAAAAGAAGAAGGGGAGATAAAGACGATAGATGTTTGATAGGAAAGAAGAAGCAAACCACACCAGAGCACCCCCAA